AATATTAATATAGGTTTTTATGCGCGCGTGGACACATATGCACATATGGGATTTTCTTTCTTTGAAAAGTCCCCTATTTACCCTCTGCGTTCCCATTTGAACTCCACTAGAGATTAGCAGCTGGCTGGAGTATAGTGACTGGCTACGGACTGGACGACGGGGGCAGAGGATTTTTCCTCTAGACTCTGCGTCCAGACCGGCTCTGGAGCCCACCCAGCCTCCTGTCCAATGGGTACCGGCGTCCTTTCCCGGGGGTAAAGCGCGGCCCGGGCGTGATGCTGACCACTCACCCCATCTGGTGTCGAGGTCAAGAATGAGCAGGAGCTATAAAACCTCACCCCCAAGCGCCTACATGGCGCATAATGGGACAGCTTTACTTTACTTTTTTTTTACTGGAGTCTCTGTCAGTAAGTTACGACTTGGCGTGTCACAATTACCCAATTCTTTAGTTTCTTGAAGAAGAATGAGGTAGCTGCTGACTTAAAACTCTTTCAACCTCGGATAAAACGGCTGAAGAGAAATAAATAAAGGAAGTTTTGCTAATGATCCTGCTGCCTTCACTTCCCCAGATTGACCGCCATAAACCTCCAAACCTGCTGATTTAAGCCCATTAAGTACTGCTCATAATATAGTTTCATCATCTCCAAATCCGTCTTCTGTACAACGAAACCTCTTCAGTGTAAGAAAAACAGCCTATCGATGAAGAAGTCCCTTGGATAAGAGCCATGTCATAAAGAAGTGTGAGGGATTGGAGGTTAAGCTCCACGAACGTTCTTAATCTCTACCCGTGAGGATATGAGTTTCGCTTAACGCTTCGGCTGTTCTACCCATGAGAAAACAGCCCCTGGTACACAAAAGCAAAAGAGACATTTTGGGCCCCAGAGCTGGCCTGGACGTGATGGTGACTACAGTGATCTCTGCCCATGCCGGGATTTGAACCCAAATCTTCAGGTCCGTAGGCAGCCACTTTAGTGACTGTGTCTGCATAAAAGGAAAACATACTGCCATTTCAATATTTATTGCACCGATGCCTTTACAATATTGTTACAGCATTACTTCACTTTTGGAAAATCATAAATATTATAACCACTGCATATCACGCAGAAATAAGCTTTTCATAACAATTCTCAAATGCCAGCTCAAAAGGCTTCGAGTTGGAGACCCAGTTTGGCAAAATAACTTATGTACCTAAATTGTTTGTTCCCGCCTCTCCTTTCAGTACGGCGACCAAGTGCGTACACTAGCGTTTTTACGAAAAAAAAGAAAGCCTAAAGAAACCATTGTAAGGTGTTACTAGACAGCCCTCCATTCTTGAGACACAGTTAACCCTCCTCAAAGCCGAGTTTGTTCAACGCGGGTTCGATAATAAATGTGAAAAATTATTTGCCAAGAGCGGAAAATTCACAGGCAGCAAAGTTGTTGCTTACGTATTTGTGTAACCAACCTGGTTTGTTTTATTCAGCATGTGTAAGAGTGTTGGTATTCAGTCCCTCAGTTTCTCCCGCGCACGCGCCTTTGATCTGTTCTTCCTCTCACAAACTGCATAAAATCTGTGGTGTGAGTCCTGCATATACAGTTTGCACCAAGTGCATAGCGAGAACGCTTATGGGCTGGCCGAGTCTCTCCGCCCGTCCATCCGACCGTCTGTCCAGTCCATTCAACTCGAGAACCACTGGACTGATTTGGATAAAATTTGATGGGGATGTTGTGTCATTCTGCACGATCTCAAAATCGTTTGTTGACTTATCACAGATTTTTATTTCGGTTTTGTAGCACAAATCAGTAAAACAAAGAGTGAAATAGCTCTATCTCGGAAACCACATGTACATGTACATGTACATATAGACTTTTTGGCTTAGAATGACCGATACTATGACTTCCCAGAATATTGACCTTTCCTCCTAGGACACTCTGTATAAGAGATGGGAGGGCAAAAGATTTTGGACTCAATAATAGCAAGCATTCCCTTAATTTAATCTGCTCTTGATCTCGTCATGGATGTCATTACAACTTCTTAGTATTGTCCCAAAATACCTGATTTTTTGTCACAGTTTCAAATGATTCATTAGCTATCCGTATATTCTGGTTCTGTCCTGAATTCCGATGCCGAGAAAAGATCTTATACTTTATCTTTTCTGCATTTATTTCTAGACCAATATCCCTACTAGCACTTAAGAGTGTTTCTATGTTTGCTTTCAGATTATTTGTATTATCACCCAACACATATCAGCATAGACCAAAAGCTGATGTGACCCATTCAATTCCAAACTGCCCTGATTTTCTTGGAATTTCCTGATGGCACATTCTAAGGCAAAATTGAAGAGCCGCTGCGATAGAGCATCTCCCTGTTTCAGGCTATTCTGAATACGAAATGTATCAGACCACGTTTTAAATAGCCTGACTAACTTCTTAAATACACCGAATTCAAGAAAAAACTTATAAAGAGCTTCTCTTTTAAATGAGTCATAGGTTTTCTTGAAGTTTATAAATAGTTGATGGTCTGAAACAGGTACGGTAATACGAATTATTGACAAGTGTGTCCAAAATTCTAGATCTAATTTAAACCATCTGCGTATTTCAAACTTGACACGAACCGCTCCTATCTGACCGCTGGCTAAATAATTGCCCACCTCTGATATACGAGATGCAGATTATTATGCGACTACCGCACTTCTACACTGAAGAAGGGAATGCAAATGTCCGTATTATCTGACATCGCCATGAATCGGATTTAATTTTTTCGCAGGTCGCTTCCGACCCATGGATCTATATTGCCTGCCCATGTCTTAGATATGAATAAAGTGGGCAATACTCAGAAATGAAGGAAGTACTTAAATAAAATTTCGCTCACCTGAAGTAATGAGAGAAGATTAATAGAGCAAAGTGGTATCAAATGGATATCTGACTACTAAAATTGCCTTGTTTGATTCTGGACCATGATAACCGAGATATGCTGAACGTCAGATACGACAATGTGAGTTTTGTGTAGCCTTTATAGTGTTTTCATTTATCCTCACTCGGCGATGCTACAGTACATCCCTTAAAACAACATTTAAATGTTGTTCAGAACATAAATAAATACACCAAAAATTACATACAAAGTAAAGTCTCATACAATGAGAGGCCAAAATGTGATTGCACCTACCTTCTGGTGCCTGTAGCACTTGTTCCTCGGTCACCCATTTATCCTCGCAGTTCTAATCTAACCCACCTCCATAGGTTAAATTTTTTCAATGGTCCCATCACCCGGCGTCCTTTTAGAAATAAAGGAGCTATAGGAATAACTACGCTAATCAACTGAGAAACCGGCACAGAACCAAAGAAATCTGAAAGATTCTTACACCAGCACCACGTGCATCATAACTTTAGCAAATCTGTCATAACGAAAGACACATAGGCCCTATGATGTATAATGTACTACAAGTCGCCATCAAACATGCGGTCCAACGAAAACCCTGAAACTTTTAAATAACACTCAAGGTCATGGCCACCTACACCCCCCTTTAAAACCCAATGGTAACTGTAAGCTTGCTTGACCATTCAGCATCTCTACATTTCGCTCACACGGTGAGACATAGGATGGAGCGGTATGAATTGGATTCATCTGTCTTATGATAGGGACCAGTGAACACGGTAATGAACATTCGCGTTCTATAAAATGTTGGAAATTTCTTATTAGCAAACCTCAAATATATAATTTTCTTATTTGGAGGCATGGGGAGGGGGCACCAGTATTCTATCTGATGTTGACACCCTCTTATTACATCTTTAAAAATGGCTTGGAATATATTTGTTTCCATGGTAAAGGGGTGACTGAATTTCACCTTGTGAACAGCATACAAATCGTAATGGATATCGTGAGGTTAGCCAATTCTGGGGCCTGATAGCGCTGCCTGGCGTGTGATCACACAAACGTTAAAAAGCATCCGCCATGTATAGATCATCAACAGAACACAGCACGAACTTGTCATTCACAACACATGCCAATAATAATGGTTCCAGCACTGAGACTTGCACCACAATAAAGCGACGTGTGACAGACTGTACATTAGAGGGAACCAAAGCCAGTCTTGGTTGTTGGAAAAAATATTTGACCTTGACCATGCAGAACTCAATAACACTTGAACCGACATACTTTCATAAAATCTGGTACGAATGTCAGACCACCCCCCTCATTTTTTACACTTTAATGCCCTATTAATAATACCGACATGACAGCCATACAATTTTTTGAAGAGAATGTACTACTAGTACCACTAATGTCCTAAAATTGTGAAACAAAATAAGCAATTGATTGTATAAAATTAAGAATCTGTAATTTATATATTCCTTCAATCCTAAAAATAAAAAAAATCTGCTAACATATAGACTGAACGTGTGAAATTCTGGAAAAGTGATGTATATTTCAAAATTTTGTCATATGCAACATACCACAAAAGGAATTTATTTGGATTCTAGTGAACGTATACCATAATTTATCATTTATTATCTTGCCATTATTGTTTACCTGGCCTCAGATGAGATGTACCTAGCTGTCACCTTATGAAATATCAGTCATTTTGTCATGACAATATGAAATTAATTAGATGGCATTTCAAGTATTTCATTCATATTCACGTTCCTGTAAACAGAACTCCATTAATGTTTTACAATGATGTGAAAAACATGGGCTATTCAGTTCTTTCATGACTAGCCTCAAACTGATGGTTTCCCTTCTTAATCTCTGCAAAGACATTATTTTGAAATAATGGTAAAAATGAACAGCTCATATTTTTTAATGAAACTTACATAAGTTGTGTAGAACATAACTAAGTTGATTTGCTACATGGAAAAACAGTTTCCTTTTAGAATTAGTTGGTAATTTATTCACGAATCAATCAATTCTTCCATCTCGTTTCAAAGATTTTAATGCAGTAAATATGGCCTATGACTTATGCAACCAAAAGCTACTTACATGAAGATATTAAAGTCTTCAAAAACACTACTCATATCTGTTTCAGACTACATAGCTATGGGACAGGGTACATCACGTCTCAATTGGGTGTGCTCGTGTGAGGATGGAAAATTTAACCTCTCAGCTACATACGAGGAGCAGAAGCTTAAGCCAACTGAAACTACTGGTAAAAAAACGTGAAATCTTGAAAAAAAGGCTGTCATTCTATATAAAATAAAAACATTCTAACTGCTGTTTTTAAACTCTTTATACTCGTATTTTATTCATTTCCTTCCAGGAAAGTAACTGTATACTACTGGAGGTTCTTACAGCAGTTAAAATGTCAGATGTGGTCTTCTCGGTTGTGATTCTGTGTGATATCATTTTGCCTCTGTCATTTACCCTCCAAAACATTGATAAACGATAAACATATATGTGATATACAATATCACAACCCAGAAAATCATAGATAACAAATAATTATATAACAGTTGCAGCTGTTACAGAAAAACAATCACATATTATACAATTTAAATGTGGACACAACCAAACCACACTACAGTAAGTTATACACAATCATAAACAATTTTTTCTTTATATTTAAATTACCTCATACTGAAAAATGTTTACAAAAAAAATTATACATTCTAAAGGGTTTTGACGACGGAAATTTACACTTAAAACTGTTCGTTATCAGGACTTAAACACTTTATGAGATCTACATATCACACCATGTACAACTATCTTTGAGAAATTTGGGCATAATATGAAATATGGTCTATGGTGGACTATTACAGACCAAAATAAAATTCATCTGATACCTCTTCATGTAAACTATGAGTACTAAGTGTCACTGACATACGTACATACCACACAGCTGTGTTCAGTTTTGTGCAGTTTGTGAAAAGAATATATGAAAGAAGGAACAAGATTTTAAGCACAGAGTACTATATAACAGAAGTCACTAAACACTATCCCTATCATATTTACAGCTGAAAAACAACAGAAGACCCAGAAACCATCAGCAGGTAAGATACAGCCCACCAACATGTGCCACATTTTAACATCAAAGGACACTCTACTTCCCATTATGGATGTGGAAAGCAGCATGGATGAACCTAACAAAAGTACAAAACTAAGAAGAACATTCAGCTCATGTGACCTGGTATACACTAAACCTGCAGCAGATTCCAGAAGACTTCTAAGTGGCCACAGTGGGGGAGCCAACAAGAATAGCCAACAATACGGATCACATGAGATCCTATCATCTGGTGGAAGCAGTTCTAATAACACTGAGTCATCAGGTCTGTGATACAGCTGCACCAGTGGTATATATAAACCCCTATGATATACTTTAATTCAGGACTATCAACAAATATTAATGCATGTTAACCTTTAAAGTACCAGCCTTTTAAGTCCCTGTATCCCCTGCTGGCCTCATTTAAATTACACAGTTATGAAATAAATTACACACTGTTCAGAAGAGTTTACTTTACCACTTGAAACCATTCCTTAAGCTGTTTCTCCACAAGATTACTTCTAATTGGAAGGAACATCACACATATTTACATATTTAGCTACCATTAGATTCATATTTTGAACAATATTATGATATTCTTAATGTATTTACCTAATATGTTAATGCATCGTGTAAACATTTCCTTTCCCTCATAAAAGAACTGTAGAATTCTTTGTTACTGCTTTACATGCATACAAAGATAGGTTCAATCAACTTTTCTCCTCCATAACGCAGTCAACCATTTGAGGGTTAGTTGTGCTTAATAAAATTTCCAACCCGCAGAAATGGAGTCCAATGCCAGCGGCCTCACAAAAGTATACACTCATTGCTTAATGTTTCATGTGCCTTTTCTCCAAGTGGCACAACTGGGATGATTTTGGGCTTATTCTTTTCTTTTTATCCTTCCTTGTCTTCCTTTTCAATTTACAGCCCAGTCTTCCTCTGCAAGGAAAAGGTAACAAAGAAATTGTTTTCTAAATTAGAAGAGGGTCATTTTAAATATGGTTATTTCTGAGATCTGGCATAAGAAGGATTGTGATCAGATGGAAAGATTTGATTTGAGAATAATATTTTTGGGACTGAGGAAAACCACACTTATAGTGAAGGCAACAGATTTATTGACCACAAAATTGTAATTAAACTTGACACAATCTCAAATATGACTTTTTATCACTGTTGTCTTCTTCAAAAAATTGCTGGTAGCCCACACCTTACAAACTATGATTTAGCCACAAGGGTTAAGGTTCAGCTATCTTTCACAATATGACTACCAAAAACTAATCAGGACAGGAAAGAATTATATCTTGTATTTATATACAAGCACACATATGCACGTGCACACACACATGGATTCAGTTGAAAGCGGTCTTGCTATAGCCAAGTCAAAGAGTTCCATTTAGAAGCAGAAGCAGACTCAAATGCATACAAGAGGAAGCACTTATTTGTTTTAAAACAAAGAAACAAGTTATATAAGTTTCAAATGTATCTAAAACTATGTATTCCACCAAACATAAACTCATCAAAGTAATATTCTGCCATATTTTAAAAACAAAGGACAACAAATTTAAATTTAAATTTCCTTCTTCCTTGCAGGACTCAGCCAGAGCAACTCAGAAAATTCCCTCATTTCCACAAAAGGTGTTGACTCAAAGTTGCACCGTGTGTTTGGAATATCTAACATGTACAAGATAAAACGAGAGCAGACCGACCGATTGAATGGGCAGAAATCCAACAACAGTATGACTTCTAGCCAACATCCTTCCTTTGAAAGGAAATCAAGTGTCAACTCATCAGCATCCACGGCTTCAACAGAAAGGAAGTCAAGCATTGGAGACATAAGCTCTCTGAGTGAAACGATAATGAAAAAAAAGAAAGATGCAAGAAGAGCTGAAATTGTGGCAGCTGTAACCAAGAGACTTTATAGTGCCAGGAAGAAGGTGGAGATGAAGCCTGAACCTGCAGGGGTGGTGCCAGAGCAGGAGAATAATCAAAAAGACAATGATGCAGAGCCTGATGAACTGAAGTTGTGCCAACGAGCACGAACAAGACTTCAAGAACTTAGCAAAAAAGCCCTTCATGCACAGCGGGGCAGGATGCGACATTTACGTGATGTGGAGGCCCAGACTGACTTTGATGTCCATGTGTTGCGTGTGAAAGAAGTGGCTGTGAGCACAGAGGAGCCATACTATGGCCCTCATATGTTCTTTACAAACAGGAGATTCTTGTTCACCAGTTACACTGATCTTAGTATCAGACAGGGACCATCATGGAGCAGTCCGTCGATCAGAAACGATACCAAATTCCCAAATGAAGACAGCTTTTCTGATGATAGTCTGGATTCTACTCATGAGATGGACACTACAGAAGAAGAGAAACCTTCTCTCTGGAATGTCATCAGCATCTCATCTGGAAAGCAATTCAAGACCAACGTAGTTGACAATGAGCAAGATCAAACTTTCAGAAGCATCTCAACACAAACATGTTCCCATCAGAAACACATCAAAAGCTTGGTACAGAATGATATAGATTTGGAACCAGACTGTTTCACTGTTTGTTCAAATGACATGGTGAGTCCCAGACAGGTGGACATATGTGAACATAAATGTACTGATCAGCCAACAAAAGTGGCCAAGTTCAATCAACCATCATCTTGTCTTCATAAAGATACACAGCAACAGGCAGACTCAAATATGTGTGGATGTGAACCATCAGACATGGACAAAGGAATCATCAGAGAAAATAAACCTTTACAGCTAACTGATCATAATTTGTACACTATTACAGAGAACAGTGAATACAGTGACAGTAATGAAGTAACATCTGGTGATTATGACAGTTCATATTCTTCCAGTGAACCTATGGCATTAACTGAGAAAACAGAAAATAATCCAGGTGTAACAATTTCTTTTCCAGACACCTGTTCATGCAGAAATGTCAAATCACCTTGTAGAACCTGGCAGTTACCTGTATGTGAATCCTACAAATCTTTTACTTTACCAGATCTAATGACATATCCTCACATTCCATGTTGTGAGGCATCTGTGGCACACACAAAACACAATTATGACTGGCAATACTGCAAAGACAAAATGTTGCAGACAACTCCAGAATTGTACAAGCACAGTACAGAGGACAGCACTTGTATGTTACACAAAAATTCAATTCAACCTACAGCAGGGAGTGGTTCCAACACAGATATAAGAAAATGCAGTCAGAATACATCAACACTATTCGAGACCAAAAGGATAACTTGCAGGCAATGTAACATACCACTTACACATTCATACAATAGTAATGATAATAGCAAGTTTCTACCAGCACACAGTACTAAAACAGAAGGCACTCAATATGATTCAATGAACCTGCAAGTACATGTTGGCACTCAAACTGGAATAACAGAGCCACCGAGCACAACTATATGGCATTTTTCACCACTTGGAGCTTACCCTAAATTGCTGCAGCTGTCCAATTCAACCTTACACTTGGAGGATTATACTGCTGTCTTTATCTCAGGTCATATACCACAACCAATAATTATGAAGCCAGTTCAGTGGTGCAGTAGCAAACCATCAGAAACTGTGGCAGTACAGACGGATAAAAATATGGAACAGAGATCTACTGATGATGATGTTCAGTGTACCATGGAATCACAGTTTGGTGACGAGATGCAAGGAACTGGGGCACGAAGCAAGGTGCCAGCTTCACAAGGAAGGGCAGAAGTGAAGTCCAATTCCATACACAAATCTGCTTGTTATCAATCAACATCCCAGCAAATGACCAACAGACAGATCACAGAGTCTTCCAGTGAGGGGTCACAAACAGGCAAGGCTGCTAGCAGTACAGCTGCATCTGTGCTGTTGGACTTGGAGAATTTCTCTGATGATGAGGATGCCCCATGTCTCCCTACTGCAACTGTGATTCCAGTTCAAGAAACAGTGGCTTCAGGCAGCCAACACTGGACAGAGATAAAGAACCTCATTCTTGGTAAAGGCAAAGATGTATTTCCATACAACATAATAGAGGAGGAAAACTGTTTAGTCCAAGAAACTAAAGACACTAAGAAGAAGTGTGTGTCATGGTCTGATTTAAGTGGTCGTGGGGCACTGCACACAGAGATGGTGTTTGCATCTGACCATAACTTGTATGACTCATCACAAGTCCAACTCAGTAAGATCACAAAGAACTCATTATTCAATGTTATTTCCACTGAGCCATGGAGATACACTATTGAGAGGTAAGAGCACTGCTTTTGTGGTGTTGGACTTGTGTACATTTGAAACTACCTATCCTGTTCCTTTACTCAAAAGTAAGGAATCATATGTTTTACAGCACTAAAACTCTGGTCTTTCTTGGTCTTTGGAGCGAGTGTTATAAAATAGGGTTATTTTAATTTTGTATTCTTATTTTCTCATATATGCCGAAAAATACACTGAAAAAAGCATTAGATTCTCCATTTTCCATAAAAAGAAACTGAACAAAGTTTTCTTCAAATGCAGGAAAAATTAATACTTATTACAGACTTAACACATCACTTGGAAAACAGTACTCGTATCTGCATTTGTAAATTATGATGTAATTTTAAAAGGAATTGTTCTGCATGAGGTTAAAAATAAATTATGTTTTACTTTCAATTTGGAGAGATATCATGGCTAGGTGCCATCACAGTTGCTGCGTGGTCTAAGGCGTGGGCTTTGTGCCGCTTGGTCACTGGGATCGTGGGTTCGAATCCCAATCAAGGCATGGATGTTTATCTGTGTCTTTCTGTGTTGTGCTGTCCTGTGTACAGGCAGAGGCCTTGCGACAGGCCGATCCCTTGTCCAAGGAGTCCTACCAAATGTCCATAGATCAAGCCAATGAAAAAGTTGGGACCTGCACTGCTCAGGCACTGAAGAATGGGTCGTATAAAATAAATAAAAGAACAAATCGTGGCTAGGTAATTAATAGTTTGTTTCAATGAAGTGAAATTATTTCAATTCCTTAAATTAAATTTCATTCATTTACTGAAACCATAATCTTTCTTTCTTGGAATTTGACATAGATCTCTGCATTTTTATTTTTTTAATAGATATGGGTTCATATGTTCAATAATATACAAACTAAATTTACAGCATGTTAGTAAAATTAATTTTTTGCTAAATTATTTGAAAATTATAAAATCTGAAACACAAAACAAAAACTTGATAAAGGAATAAGTACATTAGCTGACTGTAAGTGAAATGAAGCAGAAACAATATAAACTTTAGAATACAAATTACAATCACACCTTATTTAACACCCCATACTGAAAACATTTGTGGAACATGTTCAGCACTATTTTACACTTTGGCTTACCATTAGGGAACATTGGGGAGGGAAAATGAGATGTGGGATTCTCAAGAGAATGAAAATGTTAATTATGGTCTTTGGGTAAAGACAAAGTTGATACATTTCTCTAAAATGCAGGTAACCACCTATATGAATACACAGGGGTCACACCTCAGATCAAAATCAACAACATAGAAAGTCTCAGAGCCACTTGATATTACACACACACACACAATACAGCCATTGAAGATTTGTTTGTTTCCTGAGCATAAAAAATATTGTTACCTTGTACAATTCTCAAGCATTATCTATTGATCTATTTGCAGCAGACAGTCATCTCAGCCAAAAAGTCAGAGGTGGCATAACAGGAAATTCCATCAGAGCTGGAGTATAATAGATGTAAAGGAACTCAGAGACAGGAAGATAGAGGGAAAGCTGGACCTAGCAGCATTCCTCAGAGAGGCCAGTGCACTGGTACACAACCTGAGTCAGGCAACCCTCTTGCTAGAGAAGGGACGTCAACTGAATATCACAACTTCTGCTCCACATGCAGAACAAAATGACACCCTCAACACTGTGCACAATGAGTTGTGGGTGGCTGCAGACAGTGCTTCTTACCACAGACAATCCCCACTCCTTAAGACAGAAACAAACTACATTAGTTCCATGTCTTTGCCATCAGTGACACCAAGTGATGGGAATGACAGTGGTAGAGCTAGGATTAGAAAGAATTTTACAAGGTGTCAAAGAAATATGAGTACATCTAAAGACTGTAACATAGGTACACAGATGGAATTAGATCACATTAATCACAAGACCAAGTCAAATTTGTCTAGTGAAGAAAGGAGTTTTGAATATGAAATGAATCATGTATCTAACCTACCAGACTGTTCCAGCACAAATCACTGGCACTGTTGTTCTACTCCTGCATGCCCCATACATCGGTCAACCTTTCAATTAAATGCTTTCAGTAATAGGCTACTGTATAGGAGCTCATTTCCACTCTGTTCAACTTCCTGTAGCCCACGGGCATACAGGCAGCACCTTGTAGCTATTCGGAGGCAGATAATTAGAGCATCCCTGCCAGTAATGTTCACCCACTTCACTTCAAGTAGTCAGTAACGGTAAAATTATTTCACATATTTCCTTTTAACAGAACGTACACTTATGTAGGCCTTCCTGATAAAAGTACTACAGTGAAACCTCTATCCATCGTTCCCGGAACTATCGTTTTCCCGGATGCATCGTCCGTTTTGTTCGGTCCCGAATACATCCCATATAAAATAATGTTACATTTTCCCGCTTCTATCGTTCCTCGAACTATCGTTTTATCGCATCGATCGTTCAAAAATCGTAGTCCCGGCCCACAATTTTCCCGCAATGATCGTTCCTGAGAATTTAAAATGCTGGGTTTAGAGATAAATTAATACCGAAAGACGCACAATGTTTTTGGAATAAACAGTAGCGGTAACCTGTTATGTCGCCCAACCAGCACATTCTTTTGGAATGAGGGTCAGCGGTGCAGGGGTGATAGTTGGAGTGAATGGCGGTGC